TATTCATAAAATATTGTTTTATCATCTTTATTGCTCCTGAGTGAATTCACTTCTTCGATAATTCTTATCTCATCGGCAGCGTGAGCATATTGACAATATCACCATTATGTCTCGAAAACGACCAAGGCAATCTATTCCTTCTCATATAGAGTTTGAAATGGATACTTCTGACGATAATTGTGACGAGCTCGTCGCGATTCCGAATCCAGACAATTCTGGTTGTTCTAGTGATTCCGATTCTGATTTTGAATCAAACGATCGAGTATCACTTTTAAACAAGCATCGGAAAATTACACAGATAATCAATGTAAATTGGAAGGAGATCACCAATATAAGTGGATGGTTGGTGAAAAGAGCTACCCGAATGAGACTGAAGACAAATTATTACTAACTGACGGTGTAAAAAAAAGTATTCAAAAAAGTGAGCCGATACAACTGTTTGAAAAGTTTTTCTGCATGGAAATGAAAACATACATTATTGACTCATGTAAAGAGAATGGGTTTGAATCGCAGTTGGATGATTTGAATACTTTCATTGGCATCATCATTGTAAGCTCGTTCAATAAAAGAAAATCTCAAAGAGACTATTGGTCAACTGATTGTTTGCTGTGACGGAAAGTATCGTGTGCTCTGTTCCGTTTTAGTTTTCCCCTCTCTAAGTAATATTTAGCAATCGAAATTGCGGATTTGCTTTGAACCAATTTTTTTTGTTTTATCTCCAGTTGCGTTGAAAATCACGACTGAGTTCACAATGGCGGCCTGAATAAATCTAATAAAGACGACCCATGTCCATTTTTTTGAACGGATACTTGGAAGCAAGTTGTTGCAATGTCCATCGTGCACGTCTACTCCGCCCATGAATTTATTGTAGAGATGAAATGCTTGTGGAAACGGAATCGCAATTTTTGAATGTGCACTCGAGCTAAATCTCTTAGACGGTAGTAGAGGAGTTACCCCTGCAGCGGTAGAAGCGATCGAAACTGGTTTCGAGTCTACGATAGTTATGTAGTTTATTCCGCTGTTTTGATCATGCTTTACAACATACGTACCTCGTGGAGACTTTTTGTCAATTACATTTTTTTCTTTGACTCGATTTTCTCTTATAGTTCCTGTACATTGTAAACCTAACTTTTTCAAATGTACTAGGAGATCGAAATTCGTAAAAAAATTATCGCAGTAAAGATGGAACTGAGATATCTTCTTAGGAGGGATAGATTTGAGAAATGGATCCAATAATTCCATCACTACACGAGAACCTAGAGCATATTTACCCAATTTATCTCCAATTGATGAGGTTTTTCCACAATATAAATCGAGATTCAGCAGGTATCCATCGGCGGTGCAGAGACCCCAAAATTTTAGTCCGAATCGTATGGGTTTTCCCCGGATAAACTGTTTTAGCGATGTTCTTGCATATGATTTGGCCATCATTTCGTCAACAGATAACGCAGTCTTCCACAAGCCAAACTGACGAATATTTCTCTGAAATAATTGTAGTAATTTACGAACGCGCCATGCCTTATCACTGGGATCATTGTCTTTAGGCATCGAATACTTTAATTCTGATTTGATTTTCTCAAATGTATCGCGTTGCATTGCAGAAGAAACCACCTCACATAATAAGAAGGGATCAGTTGACCAATAGTCTCTTTGAGATTTTCTTTTATTGAACGAGCTTACAATGATGATGCCAATGAAAGTATTCAAATCATCCAACTGCGATTCAAACCCATTCTCTTTACATGAGTCAATAATGTATGTTTTCATTTCCATGCAGAAAAACTTTTCAAACAGTTGTATCGGCTCACTTTTTTGAATACTTTTTTTTACACCGTCAGTTAGTAATAATTTGTCTTCAGTCTCATTCGGGTAGCTCTTTTCACCAACCATCCACTTATATTGGTGATCTCCTTCCAATTTACATTGATTATCTGTGTAATTTTCCGATGCTTGTTTAAAAGTGATACTCGATCGTTTGATTCAAAATCAGAATCGGAATCACTAGAACAACCAGAATTGTCTGGATTCGGAATCGCGACGAGCTCGTCACAATTATCGTCAGAAGTATCCATTTCAAACTCTACATGAGAAGGAATAGATTGCCTTGGTCGTTTTCGAGACATAATGGTGATATTGTCAATATGCTCACGCTGCCGATGAGATAAGAATTATCGAAGAAGTGAATTCACTCAGGAGCAATAAAGATGATAAAACAATATTTTATGAATAAATTTTGTTGAGGTACTGAGCTGAAATTTAGGTATATAAGTGAGTTCGATTTAGTCTCAAGACAAGTTCTACGAAAATAGAAACCAAATTACTCAGATGAGGAATATTGGCAGACTTAAAATGAACACAAAAATTCTGAGCTAATATTTTTTACAGAAAATAAAATATCATTAGCAATGTGAACGATCCACACTCCACAAACGTGAAAAATTGAAAAAAGATGTGATAGGCATATACAAAACTTATTTGCAGACAGAAATATTTATGGATAATAAATATATTTGTATCAGGGATAATATTCAATGATGACCCGTATAAACAAAAACAAGATGAAATGTAAAAAAATCGGAGATTTCTCAGCCTCTGCAACGTCAATTTCATTCGACACATGAAAAATATAATATATGATCATAAAATGTGAATCAATTGAATGATTATTATTTACATTTATATGAAGTTGTCAATTCTTCAATAAACGTTAGATAATAACTGGGCGTTAATGGGAAGGTGTCCGCCATATTGCATCCGCCATTTTGAATTTTCGAATTTTGAGGACAGATTTGTAATTAGCGACCTCGAAAACCCCCAAGTGCCACATTGCATCCGATTCAAGTAAGTTTTTGAATTTGGGTCCGCCATATTGGATCCACCATTTTGAATTTTTGAATTTTGAGGGCGGAATCGTAATCAGCGACCTTGAAACCCCCGGGATTCCAATTTTCGTTAAGATTTGAATATTTTTTTTGTCGGGCACCGAGAGTGAAAATTGTCTTCCTGCTGAAGGGATGAAAAGCGCCATTTTGGGGGTGAAAATGTCAATGTCGACAAATTAAAAAAATATATTCTTAAACTACAACTATTTTGTGCACTCATGGTTGAAGAAAAAGGGGGGCTCCTTGAGCGTCTTCAATGAGAAAAAAAATATTGAAAAAAAAATGTCTTCGATTTTTTCGGTTTTTTTTGTTTAAAAACGGCCATATTTTTTTTTCTAATGGACAAAACTTAATTTTGACTCCGGATTCGGAAAGAGGACACTCGAAAGTACAAGGGAACATATTTTTTATTTGCAAATGATTTTTTTTCGATGATAAGAATCTAGCTTGAAAATGAGAAAAAAAAAACACGATTCTTCGGCGTTAATGGGTTGAAGGCTCATTTTCTTCTTGGCCAGCTCAACAGTTCAAACCTTCAGCTCTTGCTCATAAAGAAAAAAGATCAGGCGTCTTATTGCACACAGCTAAAGCTCCATCTGAAGAAGATCATCCATTGTGGTACCTTCTATCAAGATATTCATCGCTCTACAAAGCTCTTACACATTACTGCTTTTTGTCTACGCTTCGTCGCCTTGCTCAGAGGAAAAACCACCAGCTGGTTAGCTTACAATCCTATAGCTCGACAAGAACAGCTCGATGCTCAACTCATCTGGGTGAAGATCATCCAAAGACTTCACTTTCCATTTGAATTAAAAGCTCTGCGAGATAGACTTCATTTACCATCATTGCACTTTGTCTCTAAGCTCGCAGCTTACGCTGATCAAGAAGGTATACTTCGTGTTGGTGGTCGCCTAACAAACTCTGAGCTCGAAGAAAATGAAATCCATCCCATTATACTCCCAAGAAAATCTGACCTCAGGTCAATGGCCTTTAGCTCGAGTCATCGATGTCCATCCTGGACAAGATGGACTCATTCGGGTGGTCTCAATCAATACTTCAAAGACCACCCTCACCAGACCAATCACCAAGCTCATTGTTCTACCAGTGGACGAGTACCGCGAGGATGTTGCTGTAGACGGGGAGTATGTTGCAAGAGGTTAATCGCAACCTGTCAGTTGGACTCGCTCTCGTCTCAGCTCGTGCTCAGTCGAGCTCACCCGATCCGCTCGCCCTATCCTAGCTCTTGCTTCAGCGCTTGACGAATCCTACCTCTTCTTCTCCAACCTAGCCAATGACAATTGCTCTATCATTGTGCTAGGTTTACCGACGCCGGCTACAACGTGTTTGCAGTCATTAACGCTCAAGCGACGCTCAAGTACACGTGCTCGATTATCGCTCTCTCTAATTTCGCAGAACCTAATTGTTTCAAGCTCTTGATAGATTCTGCTCAGTCTAAATTCAGTTCAGTTGAGCTCTCACATCATGAATTCGCTTTGTTAGAGTAATAAACACTTTATTTTTATGATAAAACTACTAATTAAGCTCAAGAAAAGTGTCTTTAGTGTGTGCGTACCTCTCCTGACCACATCCTACGGCGTAGCTCATCTGCTATAGTTATTCGTAGCTCAAATAATCAAATAAAATGACTAGAAGCATCTCAGGCAATATATTTGCAACAAAACAAAGCAATTAATGAGAATGTGCCGGCTCGTATAGGCAAAAAATATTTATAACAATAAAACACAATAAGCCATACATTTATTTTTACTGTGAATACTTCGTAAAGAATCGTCGCTCTACTATAGATACTCAAACGTCCAAAAGCAGTAGGTTAAATGGACCAAGTGAAGACCGAACTCTTGACTTTATAGGAACTTTTCATAAAGAGACATTTCCTAAATTTCAAAAACAAAATGTGATCGTAAATATTAAGGGAGGTACATGTGAACTTATGATGATGGAATTATGATATTTATCAACAAATTGCAATAAGTTTTCAGATTTTTTTTGTCTTTCCTATGCGGAAAAAGTAACAAGTGGAAGCTAGTTTGTCATTAAATTAGTTCTTACTAACGATAAAAATATGACAGAGAAAAAAACAACTAGAATATTATTTACCTTAAAACAACAACGATGCCATCAAAAACATTGAAGCCATTGCTGATATAACGGAACGGTCCTTCAGCGATTATTTTTAGTAGCATTTCTAAAGCGAATATAGCTGAGAATACGATATTGCTCATTTCCACTAAAACTGTCAATTCTTCTGGCTGTGGAAACAATAAATACATCAGTCAAACTTCTCAACTAAAAATTACAACTTACACAAAATTGCAATAACTATAAGTCTTTACCATTCTATTATCATCCTCCAGTAGCGGTAATTTCAAGCTCTATCTCACTATAAAGCAATCGTTCAATAGAGATAAAAAATATTTGACACCGGATTGTTGTAAAAGTCACCGAGGAGGACATTTGTGAGAAATATTTTTACTCGAAAACAATTATGACTATTGTTCAAACAATGTCCAACTTTTTTAACATGTGTTTTTTTCCATTTCATTGGTTACCAGAGCAATAATAGACGAAAAAAAGATGAGAATATTTTTTTCCATCAAATTAATAAAAAAGTACAGCGCTCCATACGCGCGCTCGAAAATTAACTGTTTTAGGCGCATCCGCAGAATGTGCTGTTAAGCGCCTTTTCAATAAAAAATAGGAAGAGAACCATGAATAATGCATAGAAAAAGTCTACAATTTCAGCGATGTTTAGAATCGCTTTCTGAACATTTTTCTATAAAAATTTCTTAAAAATACTTTTTTTCAATTAATTGAGTCATTTCTGAATGACTTCTTTTTCTTCTTTTTTCTTTTTGTTCATCGGAAAAAAGATGCATAATGGCAAACTCTATTGAATTTGCACTTTTTTTTTAAATCTTAAAAAGTAATGACGATTAATAAACGCCGAGTTTACATATTTGGCATGAATGTAGCTTCCGATTAAGAAAAAAAAACTTTAAGAAGTTCATTTGTTGATGAGCTACGACCAATCGTTCAAAAAACGGAGAGACTTTTGACATGAATAATTAAATATCTCAAGAACTATCAGTTGTAGAGATTCGAGACTGGTCTCATCGTTTTTCACGTGAAAATCTCAAAAAATTACACGCATCATGTCTGAATTTTCGATGCACTTTTTTAAAGATTTAGAGAATGAGAAACCATTTTTTATCAACGAAAATGCACATTTTGCGATGCGGTCATACATTCATACTAATGCCTGCCGTCACGTGGGGGCATAGGTGGGGGATAAAGAATTTATAATATAAAAATTTAATTACTATTTGCTAATTGGCATATACTTGTTAATTATTTAATGATTTTTATGTGATCTACTGCGAAACACTAAATTTTTCAATATTTACTAATAGCGCATGCGTGCAGCGTCGCGCTTAGTGTGGTTTGGCTAAAAGGCATTGACGCGACATCTAATGGTTGGTCATGGCGACATAGCTCTCAGCGGGCATACTGTAAGCCGCGGCTATATTATCATGCTCGAGAGTAAAAGTGGAAGGGCCGGCTCTTGGTGGGACTGAGTCCGATTCACGCTGGCTGAACGCTGTTTCTAGGGAGGCCAGGGCCTACTGACGGGGGGCCTGTTGCTGCCGCTCATTGCGTGGAAAAATGAGATTGAAGGATGCTACGCACGAACGCGTTGCCGTATTTACGGTCGAAGTGGCAGCTGTCAAGGTAGCAGCCGATGTCATCTCGATTGACGTACATGGCAACCCAATGTTGCCCTGGATGTTTGTGGCCATCGGTATCAACTACAAATGCTGTCGGTTTCGTCCACACCTTCGGAATCTTGTCTGCTGGATATACGCTTATTGTATGAGCCGGAATGCACTGAAGAGCTTCTATAATTTGCAGTATATTCATTATATACTTTGCAGTTATTATCATCGCAATTTAGATTTTGCTTGGCTGTGAGAGCGGACGTAGATTTAAGGCACATTGATGAGTTATTTTGTAGCCAACTGCAGTAATAATAAGCAGCTGACATTGAACAGTGGCCTGTAAACACGTACGTCAGAGCAGAGTGATATGAACAAAAAATCCCTACGGTTGACGGGACAGTTAAAGACGGTTTATCAAGGATATCGTCGATATTTATAATTTTTTTACACACAATCGTTTTCAATAGGCGTTTTTGCATGAAGCTTCGTGTATAAATCTGCTCAGCATTTTGTGTAATAGACCGTAAATTATTGTATCGAATGGCTAATAATATTAGCTTCTGAAGCAATCCGGGCAATTTCTTCTGGTAGAAAATCAGCGTCGTTATTGAAAAAGCCTTCTATATCAATTACAAACTTTATCTTGAGTTCAAATGATGCTTACTACTTGAAACGTGTTAATCAATGCCTATTGTAACACCTTTCAAATTACTCTACGGAAATTGAACCGTTCTAACACATGTTAGTAGAAACAATTAGAAAGGTGATTACGCCCGGTGACGTCGGTGCGTAACGAGTAAGATACCTTCAGGCTGAGGTGTCACCAATATGGAAGGGATAGTGTGCTCCCTGAAGTATTAGTCCTCACCAATAAAATTTAATAAGTTAAAAATCACAAAGCTAATGGGTTTTGACTTTTCCTGCTCTCGAAAAAGTCGACGCCTTCTTCAAATAATATTACACCATTGTAAAAACTCAATAGTCATTTGCGAAGTCGTGTTTGAACCAAACGAACATGAATCAGTGTTTAAATTGTGGTTCCTGTCTTAAATCAATTGACTGTTGGGTTCCTCATCTCAAATTGTACATTCTGTGGTATTATAATTCATTAAAGCTGCTTTTTAATATATGACTCTAGGAAGTCACTTTAGAATTAAATCAATGGTTGAGTCAATTTTTACAATCAAAGATCTCTATTTTCCTTCCCTGTCTATTGGCTGCAAAGCTAGGGCAAAAACAGAGAATTCTATGTTTATGTCTTTTATTGCCATTAATTAAATAAGTTATTTGTACGTTAAGACATAAAATGATGTAAATTTGGCTAATATCACTGTATCCACTACGACCAAACTCGCCTTGTGGAATATTATAGGCAATTTCTTGATACATGTTCATCTTAATTTTTTGAAATGTAACGTTACAGTCAACGTGCCGTGTTCAAATGGTATAATTTGGCCAAATTTATCTTTTTCTATTGTACGAATATCTGACTCCAAAAGAGGGATGTAGCGCATTGTTGAAAACGATTTTTTTCGCATTGAACCATATGTATAATTATGCATGTCAAGGAGCACAATGCGTAATAATAGCGTCTGTACATTACCTATTACATAATTTTCACAAGCATCTGTGTAAACAAATAAGCTACATGGGATGGACGCATATATGTTGGCTGGCCAGGTGCTTTTTAGAAGCGGCAATAACACAGGATTATCTTTAGCTGAAAATCCAAGAATCGTTGGCGATATGGCGATAACTGAACTAGGTAAGCGCCGTTACAGCTGTCCTCGCAAACCATTGAAGCTTCTATGTAGCCGCCAGGGTCCATCTCCCATTTTATATGCTTACTGATAATAATGAGCCTATCCAACTCAACGATCAGATGATCGAGTCTTTGTTACACATCACCGGCGGGCAAGTGGGTCGCAAGATTTTCAGCATTTCCTAAATTATAATCATCAGTAACGTTTACTTTGGAAAAATCTCAAAGATCAACATTATGTATGAGCGTGAATAAAACTGTATCTTACAGTATGCCCGCTGAGAGCTATGTCGCCATGACCAACCATTAGATGTCGCGTCAATGCCTTTTAGCCAAACCACACTAAGCGCGACGCTGCACGCATGCGCTATTAGTAATTATTGAAAAATTTGGTGTTTCGCGGTAAACCATATAAAAATCATTAAATAATTAACAGGTATGTATTGTAAAATCTTTGTATGTCGCCATCTAATGACTATTAGACTAACGACAGTTTGTTAGTTAACGACGATTGCTTGACGATAAGATTGTTTATATCAACGAGGGGAAAGTTCGTTCATCTCCAGATTTTGACTGAGACGTGAATTAACCGCACGGATTCTTTTGATTTAATTAATTGCTGTCAAACTGTAATAAACATTTTCCTTATTAATTAATTCTCCGAAGTTGTTATTTGGTCTTATTTTACAATATGTTAATTATTAAATAATAATTAAATTATTATATTATAAATTCTTTACTTCCCACCCATGATTTCGCCGCCCCACGGAGTGCTACGCGGCAACCCCTACTCCCTGTGAAACCGCTCCGGCTGACACAGATTCATCCCTACTTTGAGGTGGGGATGGGAGTGGGGTCCGTCAAAGTAGCAGCATTCTACTAACAAACGTTAATTTTCAATATAACCGTTGATGAACGAAAATTACATAAGCGGTTTTAAGCATATATTGTAGAACCGCTTATGTATAAAAATTGTCTTGAGCATGTTACTCTACCTGTTCTTCCCAATATCAACTAACTTTCGTTATATGTAACTAAACCAGTCATATTTACATGAAGTCCACTTCTAGTGTATAAAAGCCGTCTCTTATAACATTAAGTCCATATGATAAATCGGTAATTCAATCTCGATAAAAATTTATTTTAATGTCAGCTCCAATGACTGTATTGAGAATTAATTAATTCTCAAGTTTGAATTGCCAGCTGACAGGAACTTCGGCGGCCATCTTGACACTAGGTCGATAATCAATCGACGAAATAATCAATATTTCTCAATCTAGTCACTCATTTGACTAATTTTCAGTGTTGATTTTGACTACTGAAGTTCCTGTCGCCATTCTTTCTCTGTTCTCATTCACGTGTACACGGATTCTAATTCTTTTCTCACTAATACTTCTTTTCATAGTCAATCATTAGTACTAGTGCAATCCTGAATTAACAGAAACATTTACCAGTTCATTCTATAATTGAATCAATAATTATTCAAAGACAATTTACAGTAAATTCAGGTAATAAAATTAAAATCCATTTTTTATTGCATTTTCAAGCTAACGCCACATGCACAATCATTATTTAACTAAACTTGAAAAGCGTGTTGAGCTCGTGGACTAGGTCAAAAATACCGAATAAACTAAGTTTAGTTACCCTTCTCGAACATTCAATTATTATTCTGTTAGCACAATCTTTTCTATCCTCAAACGGTTAGGTCAATTCAAAAGTTAAGATTTTCTCAACAGACTGAAACAGATTTATCATTTATTTAAATGGATTT